GCCCTCATGCCAGCCTCCAGCTTGACATTCAGGTCTCAGTTGACGTGTCCCCAGGGGCATCCCTGACCTGTCCATGGTCCTGTGAATCCCCTACACGGGGCCCATTGCTGCCGGAAGCTCTGGTTTGTTTAGTTAGTGTCTGTGCCTCCCCCATAGTGGAATGGTCTGGGGCCTTCCTGGGGTCCTGCCAAGTCCCTGCCTCCAGAAGACCCAGCCCCGAGCAGGTGCTCCAGGTGGGTTTGTTGGTGAGCAGGTGGAAGGCCCGGGAGTGCTCAGGACTGGGAAGGGGACACTGCCTTGGAGGAGAAGGGACGGCTTCCCCACTGATGTCAACTTGAAACTATTGACCAGCTCCATCCCCCCAGGACTTCAGGCTCTGCAGTTGGAAGAGGCAGAAGTGCCCTCTGCTGGCCACTGGCTGGGTCCCTGCACCCCCAGAGCAATAATTAAGAGTTGAGGGATGAGAAGCCAAGCTCAGCCCTTGTCCCTGACTCTTCTCATTTTCCCAACCCCACCCATCGCCCACCCTGTGTTCTCTCAAATGCACGTCTCTCCTTCTGGAACCCTCCTCTTCAAATCTTCTCTCTTATTCTTCCACTGGTTCATCTACACCCCAATCTATAACCCGTCCACACCTCCATCATCTTTAAGACTCAAGTAAGTGTCACTTCCTCCAGGAAGCCTCCCCTGACTTTGTCCAGGGTAACTGGCCTCGCTTGCCTTCTGCCTCTGCCATCCTTACAAAGGACACCCCTCACAGCTTCTGCCACACTGCATAGTCCTTATCTGTCCATCTGCCTCTCCCTGCAGGCGACTGCACTCCCTGGGGATGGGGACAATGGCCCTGATGTCCTCAGCACCCAATGCAGAACTGTGCAGGGCAGGGGCTCACATGGAAAATGTTCGCTGAATGAAGTCAACTGACTTCAAAGGTTCTGAGCAGGACTATTCCGAGCTGGGTGCCCTGGCAAACAATCCAATATACATATTGGGGAGCAAAAACAATACACATAAATATGCGCTCGTTGAGAAACATTTCAAACAAAAAGCTTACAAATTAAAAAATGAAACCTTTTCAATTGTTTTCCAACCTACAACCTTTCATAAATCACCGCTGTTCTCCATGTGGGGTGTGTTCGTCCCACACCTTCCCAAGCATTCCCTCTGACTTTATTTTACCTTTCTTCTTTTTTGTTTTCAACGTAAATGGGGTCATACAGTACACATAATTGTATCCTTTATTTTTTTTTTCATTAAAAGGCCCATTTTGAGGTCCTTCTAAGTCAGCATCTGTAGGTTTATGCCATTCTTTTTAGTGATGGCAAAGCATACCCTACCCCAGTACTGTCACAGTGTCTAAATCCGAGGCTTGTCATTAAATCTCAGTAAAGCTGGGGACAAATGCCAGGTGTTTGGTTTTTCGATTTGGTGGCTTTTTAATTATTTTGCAGTTGCAAACAACATTTCTGCAAATATCTTCATGCCCAATTCTTTGTGTCCATGGGCACATATTTCTGTAGAATTGACTCTTAGAAGTGGAATTGCTGAGTCTGAGAGCATGTCTATTTCACATTCTAATAGAGACTAGCAAACTCCCTCCAAATTGGATACCAATTGACACTCACATCAACAATGCATACCTGTCTCCTTTTCTCCACATTCTTGACAGCATTGGGTGTTATTCGACTTTAACGTTTTTTGACACATCTAATCATGTCAACCTTCAAATCCAGCTGAACTCTGATTAAAGTGGGTGTTTTGAGAAGCCCTGAGAACAGGGCCTTGGAAAGGGTGCCCGGTAGACAAAGGAGCCTCTAGCCTCCCAGAGCAGCCGTGGGTAGCCCCATTTCCTTTTCCTTGGCCAGGGAAGGAAAGTCCCTCCCCAAAACCCTTGGTCCTGGAGTCACGGCCCAAGCCCCTCAGCAGTTCCCTCAGGAGTAGAGGAACTCCTGGGTCAACCAGAGTTGACCAGAGGCGGATTTGCTTCTGGCAACATCTCCAGTCTGAATGTGATCCCAGGTGATCCTTAAGGAAGCAGCTGCCTTGTGTCCTCTGAAAAATGCTGCCTGCAAGGGAGGACATGCATTTGGGAGAACTGGAGAATTGCACACTTGGTTATGCACAGTGAGCCCAGGAGAATACGAAGCAAAGGGTATGTCCTGCAAGAACCACAGGTTTTGGAGATGTTGAGGTGGCCTGCTGGGCCCACAGAGGGGGCTTCTGGAGCACCAGGAGGCTTACCTCTTATTCCACCCCCTCCCTGCCACCCCAGACTAGAAGGAATCTATTCCGAGAGTGACACTTGGAAATAGCTTGCCATTTGTGTGGCCTAAAAAGATCTAGAGAAAGGGGCAATGGGGAATTTCCAACATTCAAACAGTCCCGAATTCATCAGATTCCAAGGTCCTCCTGGTCAGCAGCTGGCGCACAGACACCTGGGATCGTGTTTGCAGACTTTCATCTCCTAAGAGCCCAGGGATGGCCTCCAGGGCTGGCTGGCTTGCCTGCCTTCCTGTTTTTATCCAAATAGGCCTTATACAAAGATTTAAAAATGACTCATGGAAAAAGCCAAGCTAGGGAGGAGGGCTGGAGTTGGCCACCGAGTGGAGGACAGTGGGAGGCCTGCAGGGATGCTCATCAGTGACCCGGGAACCTGAGCGGTCTCCAAACTGCATCTGCAGGAAGGTCAGGACAGGAGAAGCGGGTGCCGGGGGACACAGCAAATGCTTATTGGAGAATGCCCTGGGAAAGAGAAAAACACCGGTGCTAAAATATATCCCGAGGTGGGCATGGTATTTAATTTCCAACCTGCTTCCATTTATATGCACTTAGACATTCTTTCCTCCTATGAGGGAGACAGAGTAGGCGTTATTATTCCTTTTTACAGATGTCCAGAGAAGAGGTGTCCTCCCAGGTAGCACCTTCACCCAGATGCAAGGGTCCTCCTCCCAGTTTCTTAGGAACTTGTGGGCCTTATTTGCCTGGCCAACTATTTCCCATCCTTTAGGGTTCAAATCAGCCTCCAGAGCTGTCCCCAAGGGTCCTACTGTCAGCTCTTCTGCTTGTGTCCAGCTAACACTCCGAGCCATGTCCTGTCATTGCAGGTTGTACCTATGTCACCTCCTGGCTACACGGTAGGTAAACTCCTCTCCCACCTCCTCCACCTCCCCTGGCCTGGCCTCTCCCACCCGACATGGCCAAGCAGAAGTCTGTGGAATAGCTGGGTGGGAGTGTCAGTGGATGCTAAGGGACAACTAGACAATGCCACTGCAACCCTGAAGCCAAAGTAAGCCAGGGTGCCTCAGACGTGCATCACCTGCCTGGCAAAACCACCGTGCCGTTCTGAGGATCCCAAATCTACTCAGGAAAAGGAAAAAGACAATCCCGGGCTCTGGGTGGAGGGTGGAGGTAGAGAAGGAAAAGAAGCTGGGGTCTGGAATGCCTCAAAGGTGCTGACACAGGGAGGGAAGGAGCAGGGTGGGGCTACTGGCCTGGGCACCTTCGAGAACCAGCGGAAAGGCTCCTTTCACTGGAAGCACGGAGGCCCTGAGCAATTCCAAGGGCTCCCTCTCGTGGCCATTTGAGGCCAAAGCTGAGTGTTCAGAGGCCAATCCCACATTTTCCTCTTAGCCAAGGGTGTAGAAAATGGGTTCAGAAGACAGGGGAAGAGCACTGGTCTTGGAGTCGGATTCGTGTCCTGATCACCCACCAATTCACCAGGTTGCGTTGGGCAAACCACTCCACCTCTCAGCCTCCGTTTCCTCAACTGGTTAATGAAGTGGTCTGCCTGGCACCATGGCTCACGCCTGCAATCCCAAAGCTTTTGAGGCCAAGGCAGAAAGATCATTTGAGGCCAGGAGGTTGAGACCAGTCTGGGCAACATAGCAAGAGCCTGTCTGTAAAAAAAAAATGTTTAGAATTAGCCATCGTGGTGGGGCGCACGTGTAATCCCAGCTACTCAGGAGACTGAGGTGAGAGAATTGCCTGAGCTCAGGAATTTAAGGTTACAGTGATCTGTGATCACGCCACAGCACTCCGACCTGGGTGACAGAGCAAGACACTGTCTAAAAACAACAAACTTGGAGTGTCAGATGAGATGAACAGCTCTCACAAACGGGAGTGTGGGGCTAAACACGTTGCACATGTTATCTTAGCCTCTCCCAACGACACGGCAGGATTTTGGCTTCGGGATGACAGTGACATTGATGAGTTTTTGCTGTGCTTAGCACCATAGCACAGGCCAGCTCTGGGCTGAGCACTCCACATGTGATGGCAGGCAGGTGCCACGTACAGAGGGAGGTTGAGCATCAGAAAGGTTACATGACTTACCCTTGGCCACTAGCTGGTGAGTGGCAGAACTGGGGTCTGAAGCCAGATTTATGGCTCCAGAGCTCCCCACTCTCCTTGCCCATGGTGTTTCTCACGGTTTCTAAAGTCCTTTCCATCTCCAGCTATCTGTGACTCAAGGTGTCTGCTGGAGAAAAGAGATTCACAGGAAACAGTGGGGGCTTGGCAGGTAGACAGGATAGGAACCAAAGAGACAGTTGACAGGCAGTCAGGCCTAGAGCAACCTCATAGACAAAAAGCACAGTCTTTACAGGAGAAGAAATTATGACTGCCACTTGATTAGCCATCAAAGCTATGCTTTCCCACTAAGGAGCATGAGAAAGGGCACCATTGTCTAAAAACATGTCGAACAAAAATGTCATCAGGCATTTTTTATAAGCTTTGCAACTGCCCACACCAAACTTGCTGCCTCTGAGGAGCCTGGCAGTTCTTGAATATCCAACCATTTATCCATCTATCCAACCATCCATCCATCCATCCATCCATCTATCCACCCACCTATCCCCCCGTACCTCCATCCATCCACTCATCCATTCAATTGCCCACCTATTTACTTACTATCCAAAGTGCCAATCCAGTCACCCATCTCCCCATCCATCCATCCATCTCCCCATCCATCCATCCATCCATCCACCCACCCATCTCTGCATCCATCATCCATCCATCCATCCATCCATCCAACCCTGAAGCCAAAGAAAGTGAGGGTGCCTCAAATGTGCACCTTCTTACCCATCCATTCATCTGTCTGTCCATCAAACATTGCTGAGCCCTAAGTTACTGGTGCCTTATTTTCAAGAGTCCCAAATTGGATATTATATGTCTCAGACATGTAGGCCAAAAAACACAGAAATATGTTGCATTAATTAACTATGGCAACAGATTGCTTAGAAGCTTGAAACAAGTGTTGATTACCTCACACAGTATCTGTGGGTCAGGAGTCTGGGAGTGGCTGAGCTAGGCTCAAGGTCTCTCATGAGGTTGAAGTTAAGATGTTGACTGGGAATGGAGGCTGTGCTTCCAGAATAGCTCACTTACATGACTACTGACGGGAGGCCTCAATTCTCTATTGGTGTTTGTCCCAAGTCCTCTTAGCGCCTCATCACATGGGCCTCTCCTCAGGGCTACTTGAGCATCCCCACAACATGGCAGCTGGCTTCCCCTAGAGTTGATCCAAGAGAGAGCAAGGAGGAAGCTGCTGAGCCTCTTAAGTCCTCATCTCTGAAGTCACAGATGGTCACTTCATATCATTCTGTTTGCTAGAAGAGTCACTAAATTCAGACCACACTAAGGGGAGGGGTACTAGGCTCCAATTCTTAAAGGGATGAGTATCACAGAGCTTTGGACATACTTTAAAACCACCGCATGTGTGGAAGATGCCGAGATAGAGTGTGAAGGATACTGAGAGGCAAGAGGGAGAATGCGGTCAATTCTACCTAGAATAATAGAGGGAGTCAAAGAAATAAAGCTCTATTGAGGTGATAATGAATGAGCTGAGTTCTAGACCTGGAATGTGGCCTTAACCCACTATCCCCTTCTGGGTCTCTGTGTTGTGAAAATAAATGGGGACAACCCAAAGGAGATCAAACAGAAGCCATTCATTGTGAGCTTGCCACGGCAAGGGAATTGGCCACTGTCACTTCCATTTGACAGAGACTCCCAGGCAGGCAGGGTGAGGGGAAGCATCACAGTGAAAAGGGGGAGGCTTCAGGTGTGCCCTGATTGGAGGTTGTTGGGATGGGGAAGTGGGAGTGGCTAGCTGGAAGCCGGACATCTCATTTGATTGCCTTAGGAGCATTTTTGGCTTTCTCTCATTGGTATTGAATTGGAAGCAGTAGACAACAATAGGGAAGCTGACCAGGACTGACCGAGCCCTGATCATTCCGGGCCTGTTGCCACAGAGGTTTGGTTTGTCTTCCTAGGCTGCTTGCTGCAGAGACTGTGGACCAGGGTTCTCTTTTCCTACACTGGCAGGCCATTGTCTTTTTGTACATGTGGGCTTTTGGGGTCCTCCTCTGAAAATCAAAGGTTGGTTGACTGAGCTCTGAGGTTCTGCAAGCCCTGACATTCTGAGGATCTGGCTTCTTCACCTGGAAATGAGGTGTCCAGAGATGGCAATGTGCTGGATGGAAAAAGGACTGGCCAGTCCGAGTGGCTGCCACGCCAGAGGTGAGGTCTTGTGGACAAACTGGGAATGAGAGGGAGATGCCTCGATTGGACCCTCCTCTCTGTGGGCACTCCCAGGAGTTTCCAATTCGCAGCAACCCACAGCATCCCAGCATCTTTGACTGTGGACCTTGAAAGTTACAGGTCACCTCAGGTGACTTCCCCAGTGCACACGCGGATACTTAAATCTGCATTTCTATCTTCTCTCCAACTGGCAATCTTATTCTTGCTTGATTGCCTCTGGAGACAGCAGGCTCACTCTCAATGGAGACAAGGATGTGGTCCATCTGCTCTGGCACACAGGGCAGCTTCCAAGATGGCTGGTCCATCTGCAGCGTGCTCAACCCCTGAGCACCCATCCCACCACATCCTCCCAGGCTGACCCTGCCCTTCCCTCTTCCCACATATAACAGCGACTGAGGTTTTGCCTGAGGAAGGTCCCTGACAAAATGAGAGGGAAAGGTGAGAAGGGAACCCGGCCTTTTTCCTATGCTACCTCCATGGGGAAGCCTTTTCATCAGATTAGCAATGGTCTGGAGGAAACAGGACACAGGACTGGTAAATTTTGACATGGAAATGGAAATGAGGAAAAACTGTATGTGCTCTTCAAGTGCGATGTCATCATTATGACAGCACAGACCTCCTAGTGTCCCCGTCTCATCCGATGGTCACCATCACCCTGAAGGGCATGGCAGGGCAAGGTCCCCCTTCTTAGCGTGTGACTCCACCACCTGCCCACCTGCCCAAGCCTGCAGGTCTTCCTGAACTTTTCTCCTCCTTTATGCTCCCATATCTGACCCTATAAAGTCTGTTTCCTAATGGGCACAGGAACCCATCCTTCCTGTCCCTCCCTGGCCACGGTAGTGCAGAAGTCATGCCTAGGGACTGGGCCCCAACAACCTGGGCTCAAATCCTGGTGTTGGCGTGAACAAGTTGTGAGGCCTCTGGCGCCGAATCCCACCTGGTTAAGCCCATCTCTCATCCCTGCAGCATCCCTTCCGCACCACCCAGCAGGGTGGGCTTCCTGAAGCCCAGCCCACCCTCCCTTCCTCTGTTCCAGCCTCTGCCCCATCAGCCTATCCTCCAGGTTCTGTCACGCCCAGCACCCTACACTGAGGCTGATGAGCAGAGGATCTAGCCCAGTTCTTCTTGAAGAAGATGGAGGGGTCGGGGCTGGGTGAATAAATACACCAAACAGCCTGATGATACAGGTCCATTCTGCATGGAATTAAAGTCACACACAGGTGGAGGCAGTAGCCCTGTAGGTGGGCTGCTGAGGTTTGTATCTAGCTCTGCCATTTACTAGCTGTGACCTTCAACAAGGCCCTTCACTGTTCTGTGCCTTAGCCTCCTCATCTTAAGATGGGCTGGTCATAGTACCTGCTCATGGGTTGTAAGACAGATGGTCCCTCCCAGTGTGCGTGGGCATCGGCCATTCTGTTCAGGGGCTGCAGAGAACAAAAAGATGGAGGAAGAGTGAATTTGCTCTCTGCCGGTGACTGCTTGCACTGGGACATCAATCTTCTGCCCTCAGTGCTGCTGGTTCTCAGGCCTTCAGATCTGAACTGGAATCTCCACAGCGGGCTCTACTCGGTCTCCAGCTTCCAGACAGTGAATTGTGGGACTTCTCAGCCTCCACAATCACGTGAGCCAATTCCTTCTAATAAATCTCCTTGTGTGCATGTGAACTGTTGGTTCTGTTTCTCTGGAGAATTCTGATTAACACACCACATGCTTAGAATAGTGGCTGGCACATAGTAAGTACTCACTGAGTATTAGTCAATATTACTATCTTACCTGGTTCCATAAATACTCTCCCACTGAAAAGATGTTCCTTTGTGTCTCACCTTGGAAGTGACAGGGCCACCAAAACCAATCCTTGCATGTTTCTCTAGGAGGCCTCTCTGGTCTTGTCTGGTGTCCATGAGCCCAGCTGCACCAGGGACTCCAAGGGCAGGCCTGTGGGATGCTGAGAGCACTGGCCTCCTAGTACTGAGTGGGCCAGGGTCCCTCTGGTGGCTGCCACCTGCAGCTTCCTCTAGGCCCCTGCTGGCCAGGAGGTGTGGGCAGCTCTGGGTGCACACCAGTTTTGGGGATGAGGCTGGGATCAGGGAAAAAAGTATGTCTGCTTGTCTGGTAGGATCTGCCTCCCAACTCCACGTGACTCAGTTTAATTCAATTAACTCCAAAGCACTCTGAGCCCCTACTCTGAGCCACTTGGATTGCCAGGACCCCAGAAATAAGCCAGACCCAGTCCCTGTTGTTAAGATATTCTACAGAGCCTCCATCTTCCTGCAGATAGGCTTCAGGGGTTGAAGAGGGGGGCTGTCACCCCAGCCATCCAAGTCGCAGCCACAGCTCATCTCTCCAACACATCTCACATTTTGGTCTTCAGCAAGACACTTGCTTAAAAGAAAATTTTTCTTTTTTTCAACAGTCTTGGAAATAGGGTTCATATTAAATGTGCCCTTGAAGTATGAGTTTGATTTTGACAGTGAATAAGGGAGTGAGAGGAAAGAGGGCCATCCAGGTAGAGAAAACAGCTTGAGCAAAGGTGCGGCTGTGTGCTTCTCAGAGGGGAAAGGGACATTTATTGAAGATCTGCCCAGAGCTGAGTGTGAGTGAGTTCCTGGCTATTCAGCTCTCACGAGGGCCTACAAAGAGGACGCTATTATCCTCATTGACAGATGAGGCTCAGAGAGGCAAAGTAAAGGTCAGGGCATAGGCTTGGGAATCAAACCAGCTCGGAGATCTCTAGCACACATGCGCTTTCTATTGCCAGAGGCTACTTGAGGCGAGGCAGAGTTCCAAGCAGGTTTCATGCTGGGTGCGGCCAAGATGGGCTCCAGTGGCTGGGCTTGAGTTAGCATGGCTCCCTGGTGTTGGAGCAGGCTCAATGGGCAGAGTTGGGCTAACAGGGAGGGCTTGGGGCTGTCATCATTCATGGCCGCAGGGACATGGTGCAACCATTTATAATTAGAATTATAACTTAAACCACCAACAAAAAAAGACTTGACAAGCACCTTCACCTCCCAGCATATACATATCACATCTATTACTGCCACTAGGAACTGGAGACCAAAGGAAGCTGGTTCAGAAGCCCAGCCCTGTGTTAAGGTCCCATGGGGTCTGCGCAATGTGGAACTATCCCAGGGAACAGGTAGCTCTCTCCTGTGTCCTCCCAAGGCTTCTGGAGTTCCCAGGATATTCATCTTATAAAGTGGTTGGTGAAAAATAAGCCATGAAAACAACAGAAACGTGATAGGTAGGTAAGTAGATAGATGGGGGATTCGATGGATGGATGGATGGATGGATGGATGGATAAATGGATGGATGGATAGATGGATGAATAGATGATAGATAGATCATAGGCAGGAAGGGAGGGGGCCAGGCTGGGAGTTGGCAAGGATACTGCCCCACAGTCCTGCCTAGTTGGACAGGACCAGGGCCAGCTAGGAGCAGGGAATAGATGGAGACGAAGCAGAGACGCTGTTGTCAGAACAAAGGGCCCAGAGGCTGCTCTGTGCAGGGGCTGCATTGCCTTCCAAATACAAGGTTCAAATGTACAACTAACATCCCCAGGCAGAAACTTCCCCAGGCAGAGATCTTCCTTTGATCAAAGCTGTAACCCCAGAAAATGCTGGCACATAGTAGGTGCTCAAGGCATAGTTCTTGAGTGAATGTGTGGAAAGGCTTGTCTACATCCTAACTGGACTTTGCAGGTAAACTGTCCCCCCAGCTGCCCCAGGCCTGGAAGAAGCACTACGTGTGCCCCAACTTGAAGGACGGGTGGTATCACGAGCACTGGCTGTGGGGCCTGAGGACCCAGGTGTAAGGTCTGACTTTGCTATTAACTGAGAGTTCAGCTTGTACATGAGTCACTGCATACAACAGCCCTCTGATGTGGACACCACTATCCCCATTTTATAGATGAGGAAACTGGGACCTCAAGAGATCAAACCACTTGCCCATGGTCACGGAATGTGGCAGTCTTCAAACATGGCTCCTCAAAAAAGTTTTTTAAAAGAAGCAAAGAAAAAGAATTTTTTAAAAACAAAAGAAAAAATAAACATGGCTCCAAAGTTCTTCGACCCTCCTCCCACTGATAGGTGAGCTTTACATCCCTTCCTCTTGAATCTGGGCTCTGTGACTGTTTCACTAAGAGAATACCGTGGAAGTGATATGGTGCTGATTTGGGTTTCTGGGCTCCAGCCATAAAAAGGTAGCAGGCTCTACTTCCTGTCTCTTCAGATATTTACATTTGGAACCCAGCCGCCATGCTGTAAGGAAGCCAGGAAGCCACAGGGAGAGGCCACTGGAGCTGTGTCAGAGGCAGGCCAGCTCAGGTCATAGCCAACAGCCAGCATCAAGGCCCGGACGTGAAGTGGGGAGGACTTGGAGATGGCTTCGGTCCTGGCTGTCAAGTCACCTCCAGTCTTTGAGTCTTTCTAGCCCCAGACATTGCAGATGGAGATAAGTGGCTCCCACTGCCCTTTCTGAATTCCTGGCCCATCAGTATCACTGAGTTCTGGGAGGTTGCTACAGCAATAGTGACAGGGACACTAGGGAGAGCAGTGGGGCCATGTCTGGAAAGCAGGTCCTGCTGACCCCAGAACCCATCTCTTCTCCACTGCCTCAGTTTACCTGGCACATCTGCATTTCAGATGTGCTGCCTGAGGTAATGGGGCCCTTGAGGGGTGACTTGGTCAAGCCTAGGAGGTTCATAAATATCACTCCCAGCTGCTCTGTGGGCTGGCGCATCTGTGTAGGGCTGGCCCTTAGGAAGAGACCAATGGGAAGTGTCAAGGAGCTCCCTGAGCTCGGACAGATGTGGACTCTGACCTCAGGTCTGCCAACTCCTAGCTGTGTGAACTTGGGCAAGTCTCTCTGTGTCTCAGTTTCCTCCTCTGTACAGTGGGGTTACCAGGAAGGACCTGATAGCCCTGTTGGAGGACTCCGTGTGTGAGACTGAGGCCCCGTGTGTCTCCGTGAAATACATGTTATAAACACTCTTAATCATGGCTTAAAAGACTCAGAACCTTAGCTCAGGATGGGCCAGCATTCAATGGGAAGGTCACGGGCCCCAGAGCAGGGCTGTGTGGGGAGGGGGAGATTCAGGCATTGGCCAAGGTCCAGAGCAGAATCCTCTCCTGTCCTGCTCCAGGGAGCTCTGTGCAGGGAGTCAGAAGCCTGTATCCCAGCGTACAGCTTTTAGAATTTTTTGGGAGGGATCATGCCCTAGATATTCCTTCCAAATGAGATCACCATTTGACAGGACTGACAGGGACTCTCCAACTCCTGCTTTGTGTCTCTCTGGTCACTGTTAATACTGAAATTAACATAGATTTTAATTCTTTTTAAATTAATATTCCAGTAAACTTTAATATTGTTAATAACATCTAATTAATTTGAAAATACACTCTGTAACTATCTATGAGCTCTAACAGTGAAATGTAGCAGTGAATGTATGCATTAAATGTGTTAATTCTGTTCCATGTCAACACTGAAAATACCATCATTTCTGCCCCCCTGGTTTAGCATGTCTTTAAAAACATTTATTGATCTATAATAAATAATAGTTGCACATATTTTACGGGTATACATGATACTTTGCTACATGTATGTGTTATGTAATGATCAGATAGGGTACTTGGGATGTGCATCACCTCAAACATTTTTTTTACTATAATGAGAGCCTCATAAAATGGACGTGGTGCAGGGCTCCCCTGAAGCCAGGCTGGGTGTTTCTGGGGACTGTGATCATTTCTGATAGGACTCAACCTCCTTGGGGAGAGACCTGGCAAGAGACCTGCCAAGACCCTGGCTGCATGGCAAGAGAAACTGAGGCAAGGTCCCAGAGGCATCGGCTGGGCCCCTGCTTCAGAGTAGGAAGCACTCATCCACTGACAGTGTATCTCCTGGGTGCGCCTGTGCATGAGGCCCTGTTCCAGGCATAGGGATACGGCAGGAAGCAAGAATCCAAGTCCCTCCCTGCGGGACCTGTGCTGTGGTGGGCAGTCAGGCAATGAAGCACAGTCAATGCCCAGAGATCTCATGTGCTCAGTGCTAGAGAGGAGAAAAGCCGAGAAAGAGGTGAGGATGGGGGGTGGGAAGCCCACACTAGTGAGTGAGTTAAGACAGAAAAGAGGGGGAGGCTGAGCTGTGCAAGTATCCAGGGCAGGAGCTGGCAATATTTTTCCATAAAGGACCAGACTGTAAGTACTTGCAGCTTTATGTGTGCTCTGGGGTCAGTCACAACCCTCAACCCGACTGTGCGAGGGCAAAAGCAGCGTAGACAGTATGTCAATGGGTGGCCTGGCTGTGTTCCAATAAAACTTTATTTACATAAACAGGTGGTGAGCCTAACTGTGCAACCACTGAGCGAGGGGAAGAGAATTCCGGGAAGAGGGAACAGCAAGTGCAAAGGCCCTGGGGTGGGAGTGAGGCT